CACAGGGTCAGGTGGCCTGCGGGGGGCCAGTGCCCCCTCCCCGAGGGTCCCCACTCTGAATCCGGGAGTTAGCTCAACCCTCATCCTGCCCATCGGACCCACATGGGTCCCCAGCCATGGCCTCCACTTGGGAGTCCAGGTGCAGGGACTCGGGGTGGGGTGGCCTGTGGTCCACATCCAGGCAAGAATGCCAGGGTGCAGCGGCTCACAGAGCCCAGGTGGGGGTGTCCTGGAAGCCCCCACTTCCTTTTCCTAATCCCCACTAACCTGCTCCTGCATCCTCACCTGGGCCCACCCCTGCGCCCTCCACCCCAAGTCCGAGCAGCCCTACCTCCATTGCTCTCTAGATCCTCTGCAGCACTCCGCCGCCAAGGTGGTCCCACCCCCATCCCAGATGGCCCTGCCCCTCTCTTCTTCCCCTTATGCTCCCCTCCAGCTCGACTGGGGCTCCTGCTCTCCTTTGGCCCTGCCCTTCCGCAGATTTCCCCCCCTACCCCAGCCCAGCCCACTAACGGGCCCTCACAAGCCAGCACACCAACCAGCCCCGCCTGCTCACAGGCCCTGCCCTCCCGTCAGCCCCGCCCTCCATCGCTGCCACTCACTGGCGTCCTGGAAGTCCACATCCTTGCCGTTGTAGGCGCTGCGCAGCCGGTTGGTCATGATCTTCAACTGCATGATCTGCTGCCGGATGGCCATGTCCGGCTTGGTTATGTCCACCTCCACCTCGGGGTTGTTGATCTGGTTGGCCAGGCCGTCCCCCATCACCTCTGGTAGGTACCTGGGGTGGGATGGGCAGAGCCCTCGTGTGAGACAAGGGCTGGCCCCCAGAATTGCCCGCCCGGGAGGGGGCACTGAGACTGCCCCCAGCCCCAGTCCGCCCCCCCAACCCCCGCACCGCTGCGGGGGAGCTGCCTCTCCAGCTGGGCGTTCTGCTGTGCTCTGGGCCCCCAGGGGCTCCACGGTAGGGCGGTCAGCCCATCAGTGGGCAGCTCACCGGCCCTTGGTCATCCCGTTCCAACAGCGGTCGTCACTGGCCATGCTGACAGCCACCCTCTCGCTGCACAGCGTCCCTGGGAGACTGACCCAGAAGTCCTGCACGTCACGGAGCTGGGCCTTGGCCTCGGAGACCTGGGGGCAATGGGCAGCTGCTGGGTGGTTCAGGTCAGTCGGCCAGCCCTCTCCCCTCCCCCAGCCAAGGACTCAGACTGGCCCCTGGGGCAGGGGCCTTCCTCACCAGCTTCTCCAGCTCGTTCGTGGGGTGCTTCTGCAGGTCCAGCTTGCCCCGGCGGCGTTGCTCCTCTGGCCCAGCGGCCTGGGGATTCACCTTGGGGTTCCCGCAGCCTTGGATGACCTGGGGAGATACCACAGGGGCCCAGGAGGGTGCCTCAGGCCCAGGAGGGGCCACATCAGAGGCGCTCCTGGCCCTCCACCCCCACCTGCCGCACCTTGGCTGTGAGGCTGTCCTTGCCGTCCAGGAGGGCAGAGATGGCCTCGGCCAGCCACATGTGCACGCTGCTGATGACAGACTCCGAACCCGATGGGCCCCAGAACTTGTTGGTGATGAGCACCATGGAGTCTGGCGGGGCAAGCGCACGCGCACGCACACACGCGTGCACACACAAGCACGAGCATGACCCTGTGTGTCTGCCAGCAGTGCGGTCCCCATAACACGGGGCCGAGCCAGGCTGGCCAGGGCAGCTGGTAAGTGCCGGGCAGGCTGGCCCCTCCGTGACCTCAGGCAGGTCGACCTGCCTGGAGCCACACCCCCACGTCGGAGTGGGCCTGCCCATGGCACCCTCCTCACGGGAACGCATGCGCCTCCTGGCTCACGTGTGCTAGCACATACAGGTGCTGAGACCCTTGTGTAGGCACCGCATGTCGCTTACGTGGGTGTGTGGGCTGGCCTGTGTCATGGCTGCCCTCAGAATACCCTGATCCCACCAGCCCACCTCCCAGGCACTTGCTGCAGTGCACCTCGGTATCCCACCCCGCGTCCCCTTCCTGGTCCTGCCCTCCAGGAGCAGGTCAGCATCTCCCCTGCTCCCGGACAGGTCTCCCTTCCCTCTCCTGCAGGGCCTCAGAGGCCTAGCACATGGGGTGAGGGTGCCCAGCCCCAGAGGGCAGCCAGTGCCTCTCCTGAGGGTCCCTGGTGGCCCTTGCGGTGGGCTGAGAATAAAGACGGCTCACCTAGAAGGTTCCTCCACTCAGCATCCAGGTCGGCCTGGTTGGCCAGACAGCCTTTGAGCACGTTGTGGCAATAGTTGGGGCAGGGCCGGGCGCCAGGCACTCCCAGGCAGTGGGCACAGTAGACCAGTTTCATGACGGCCCTCGAACACTCGGGGCTCAGGGGGACCTGGGGCGCAGACAAACTGACTGTGGCGTTGGTCATCCACTGCCCCTGGTTACTCATCTGAACAGCTGCTAAGGGGCATGGCGACAGGGCAGTGAGACCACCCACCATGCAGATGGGGAAACTGAGGCTTTGAGGTTGGCGGTGTCAGCTATTGAGAAGGGGGGTTGCCCTCCCCCCACCTGCCTGTCCCTGGACCTCCCACTGGGGGCTGGCTGAGGCTCCGGCGCTCGCCTGACCCACCTGGGACACCTTCCGGACCACGTCGCTGGCCACACCCAGGCCTTGCACGAAGGTGCGTGCGGCCACGAAGGCGCGGGTGGCGCGCAGGCGCAGTTCACGCGGGGCGTCCCCGAAGGGCTGCAGGGTCTCGGCCTGCTTGCCCAGGCAGTCCAGGTAGTCGTCGGGCAGCAGCAGCCGGGGGTGCAGCTGCTTGAAGAGGCGCTCGAGCAGGCGGGCCCAGAACTCAGCCAGAGTCTCCTCCAGCTGCAGGCTGGCGCCGCGGTAGTAGAGGCGCAGCTCGGCGTACAGGTCGCCGAAGGCCTTGGTGTTCTGTGTGTACAGGTCCCCGAAGGCGCTGGGGAAGGCGTCCTGCAGTGCCCGCTCTGAGCCGTTCAGCAGGCGCTGGAAGTAGTCTGCGGCAAGGGAGGGGCCTCAGGGGCTGAGGCCGGGAAGGTTGGATCCGCCCACAGGCTCCTCCACCAGGAGTCCCACTTTCCACCCACCAGCCGCTGGCAGCCCACAGGGCACACGGGTGGATGGGAGTGGGTTTGGTGACAAGGGTACTGCTTGAAACTGGGACGTTGCTGGGTGCCTGGAAGGTGCTCCCTCTGTGGTGCTGTGAGGTGAGAGCCCTTGGTCCAGCCCTGGGTGCAGCTGCAGCTCTTTGGGCCCGCCCCAACCCCAGCCCTGAGAGAGGCCGGAGGGACCTTGGGGAAGGCCCAAGGGCAGGGCCCTGGCCTGACTAGGAGAGGGGCTGCAGGAGCGGGCAATTCAAATCCGGGCCGTGGAGCCCTGGAGAGCTGCTTGCCCCCTGAAGACCC